ACTTGCCGCCGGGACGCTGCTCGGACATGACCAACACAAAACTGCCGCCCCTCCCCAGCACCAAGTGACACCTCTCGCGTGTTTGTGTAAGACTGGAATTCTATACGTGTGCGATGGGGGTGTTTCGTCTGCTTCCGGGCGTGACGTGAGCGGAGCGACCCGTGGTCAGCATGACGTGAATTTTTGCGGAGTGCACGGGTCCGAAGTACTGTGCTTGGAGGATTGGATAGTATTGTCTCTCCTCATGCTCCTGTTATTCAGCGCGTCTGCGTACGTGTCTGTGGAACGGGGGTCGCACGATGGCCGACGAATTTGACATATTTTTGTTTATGGTGAATTTCAAGCGTGTCGCTGACTTGCGCCAGCCACAGGACCGGAAAGCAGCGACCTGCGTGGCCTATAAGCATCGGTCAAGGCATGTACCGTGCACTCTCTGGCCGGCGTGTTTGTTGGCGTTGTTGGTGCGGCGCGCTGCGGCGTTCGCGAGCGGCGCGTGACCTGGCTGGCGCGGGCGGCAGGATGACGCGCCGCCGTCAGGTCCGCCGGCCACGATCTGGGGCCCCACCTGCGACTCAATGGACCAACTCTGCGAGGGCCAGCTGCTGCCGCCGCTCCAGCCCGGCCACTGGCTCGTCTGGGACAACATGGGTGCCTACACCCTGTCGGCCGCCGGCACATTCAACGGCTTCCCGCGCGCCAGCGTCTGTTGCGTCATCACGGCACCGCTCAGGTGGGTCTGCTGCGTCATCACGATACCGCTCAGGTGGGTCTGCTGCGTCATCACGGCACCGCTCAGATAGGTCTGCTGTGTCATCACGGCGCCGCTCAGGTGGGTCTGCTGCGTCATCACGGCACCGCTCAGGTGGGTCTGCTGCGTCGTCACGGGGCCCCTCAGGGAAGTCTGCTGCGTCATCACGGCACCACTCTGGGGGTCGCCGCGTCATTGCGACACCGTCGGTAACACCACCTGCTGTGATGTGGAGTGTAAGCCCGTCGGGTTTCGAGGCGGTACATCACGCGCATCGTCCAAAACAAACCGCAATGAATTTGAATGGCTACAAGCCCCTGCACGGGCTCCCGGTAGTCCGTGAACCCGACCGTCACCTGCCTCTGCGTGAAATCTGCGCGCCTGAGGTGTCCTGCGGCGCCTCAGACACTGTCCTGGGCTGGTGTGCCCACATCATCTGTGTAGGGCGACGTCCACTGCCACCATGCTCGTGCTCGATCTCATGATCAGTATAGAGGGCGCTTTCGCAGCCGGGAACATGCCGTGCTCGCTGTGTATTCCTTAGTGACTGGCTCTGTGTGACCCCGACCGGGGCTGTCGGCAGCCAACCATGGCATGAGTGAATGTGGCTACCTGTTCCGGCGTGTTTGCAGCGTCGAAAATTGTAACCTCTGGCTAGTAAACAATGGTTCATTTCATGATGCAGGTGGAGCATGGAATGAGTTAGAAAGCTGCGGGAAAAAAATCAGCTTAGCAACTCTCGCGCGAAAGCTGGCTGGTGGCCCCATGAATATAAGCTACTTTTCCCTTCTTGGACCAGTTGGGTTTTATGTCACTAGCTTAGGGCTTCCCACTTGCGACATCAATGATGGACTAATGCCTATTTCAAATCATAGGCGATTGTTGCAGCTAAGTAAAGTTGGAGCAGATAGATGGGGTGGTTCTTCTTGGTTGTGCCTTGGTTGTTTCACCTCCGACGTTCTGCGTGGACAGTGACGTAGTTATTGCGACCGTTGGCCCAATCTCGTTCCCGACCCCTGCTGACCTATCCTTGACGCCTGATGTCCTGTGCCTGACACCTGATGACCTATGTCTGACCCCGACGACTCGTGTCTGTCTTCTGACGGCCTGCATTCGACCTGTGGTGACCTGTATCTGACTTCTGGTGACCCTTCTGACCTCTGATGCCTCGTGTCGGATCTCTTCAGACCTGTGTTGGACCCTTGGTGACCTTTGTTGGATCCCTGGTGACCTGTGTTGGACTCCTGGTGACCGGTGTCTGACGTATGGTGACTGACGTAACCCGTGTGTGACCTATGGTCACCCGTGTATGACCTCTGATGGCCCGTGTCTGACCTACGATGACCCGTGTCTGGCCCCTAATGATCCGCGTCCTGGCAGTGAGGCGGTCCGTGCGGCCGTCGGTCCGCTCTCGCCGATGCCGGAGCCCGCCATCCAGCCGACCCAGCTGCCGGCCGAGCAGTGTGTGGCCGAGAACTGAGTCCAGCGTGGCTCAGCGTACCCAGCGGTGGGCGGTGGCCTGTAAATGCCCAGCCGCCAACAACCGGACAATCTACGTTATCACCACGCTCTTAGTAATCTCGATGTGCACGGGTGCTTCTGCTGAGCGGCGCGTTTAAAGGGCTCGCGACGGCGCCATTCAAGCTTCAACCGAGGACCTCCGGTGACTGTGGGCCGGTCCACTGGTATGCTACTCATGATTTACTCTGCGCTATCGCCGCGTGTGGTCCGTGGAATACACTGGACTGGGTACGCGCTTGTATTCGCCTCGTTCCGATTGTTCGGTTTGGAGATGTTCATGGATTTGGTGCCCTGGCGGCAACCCGACACATTTCTAACCAATTTAAAGTCTGGCTCGCTTCCGTTTCCGTCGTCCTGACTAGCTCTCAATCCGACCTGGCTCCGGCAGCCAGAAGCTCACAGCAGACCTCATGCGGCTCACACCACGCACCTGGAGCTTCCTGAGTGGACACTCGATTCTTCAACCTGTTTCAGTGTAGCGGAACTATCTAGCTTTCAAATATGGTCCTAATAATCGGTTTGTTAATTTTAGGACTCCGTATAGCCCAGCCATGTCAATGGTGCATCCATCACTGTGCACAGTCAGGGACATCGGTAGTTCATATCTATTTGGTCGGTTAATCACGCCAATGTAAGCATTTACAAGAGGGTGGTGAATAAGATGCAAGTCAACAAAGAATGGAGCGCACTACATTCTGCGTAAGCATCCACTGGTGATCAAGCTACTCAGTTCAGTTGCTAGTTAGTCCCTCTCTGCCATCTGCAAACGTGTGAGTAATTTGGCCGGCGTTGTCACTCGCTATTGAGCCTCCTGAAACCGCTGCAGCTTTTTTAAATGCTGTCACAAATTTCATCTTGACCTTTTGAATGGATGTTTGGCTGGGATCGGAGCCCGCGCTTAGAAGTGCTCCTTGTATGAGCTCTGGCCGCTAACATTCCATCAATTCCAGGTAAACATCAGAGTAGAAGGCGAAAGTTGGCCGTGCACAGTGCTCGCCACAGACTGTCAAATTGTCCTATGGCCTCATCTGGTCTTTAGTGCGATCCCCGCCACCGGCCGCAGGCCATATTCTAAGGGCACATACCGAGCGCCAAATGCGATTCGAACCCACCCCGCCATAGATGGGCGGATCGGAACGCAGACGCGCTAACCAACTGAGCTATGGGGGCGATCCACCGATGACCTACCTTCGGTCAATGATTACGAGCAAATTGCAGAACAATGGCGAATATCGACGCCGATGGCCTGATCTGTTGCCTCCGCTGGTAATAATCGAGATAGAGACAGTTGGCAGAGACTTCCTGCCGGCAGCAAATCACGCATGCAGGTCTGGTGTGAAACAGTATCCACTCACCACTCGCTGCCACGCGGGTCGGCATGTAAAGCTAGCCTGGTTATCCAGACGTCCCGGGCGCGTGTGCTCCGGCGGGGGCATCGGCCGGCCCAGATGACGTTGGAAGAGTGGCTGGTGAATCGGGGTCAGCTCAGGCCCGGCCAGCTGCAGCGTTGGGCAATACGTAAATCCTCCTCAGTGCTGTCTGGTAACGTGGCGGAGGTTAACAGCGTCCGTACGGATGGACGGCGCAACTGGGGTGGTGAGTGCAGGATGCGCGCAATCATATTTCCTTGGCAGGAGGCGAGAACCGAAAGCCACCCTTGCAAACTACCCGGAAAAATACAGTTAAAAACCGATGTTGCCTACGTCCTGCCCCGTTCGTCCACCCCTAGCGAGACCCAGATTATATAGCGATCAGTGTTGAAAAATTGACGTTTCCTAGGATAATGTACGCCAGGAGATTTTGTACTCCAGGATTGCGACTGGCTAAAATAAAATATTTTGTACCCCGTCATGATGGAACGAAAAGTGTTGTTGGCAAAACTCATTTTGCCTCTTCGTTTCATGACAAAATGAAACCAGAAAGTGTGCGAATGTTGAATGGAATCGCCTTTGAACAGTACCGGGAACTGAGAAACTAGTAGCAGAATCGTACCGGTCTGTAGATCAGCATAGCTCCCACTTCCTGTGCCACTATGCGTATGTATATCAACTCAAACTTGAATATGACTTAACATACCATTGACACACCACAACCACACAACACACACACACACACACACACACACACACACACACCACACACACACCACACCACACACACACACACAACACCACCACACACACACACACACACACACACACACACACACCACACACACACACACACACACACCACACCACACACACAACACACACACACACACAACACACACACACACACACACCACACACACACACCACACACACACACAACACACAACCACACACACACACACACACACACACACACACACACACACACACACACACACACACACACACACACACCACACACACACACACACACACACACACACACACACACACACACACACACCACACCACACACACACCAACACACACACACACACACACACACACACACACACACACACACACACACACACACACACACACACACACACCACACACACACACACACACACACACACACACACACACACACACACACACACCACACACACACACACACCACACACACACACACACACACACACACACACACACACACACACACACACACCACACACACACACACACACACACACACACACACACACACACACCACACACACACACCACACACACACACACACATATATATATATATATATATATATATATATATATATATATATATATATAATATGTATATATACTTCTGACGCTGATTTGCGGGTTAGTCTGTTTTTGCATTGCCATGACAGTGGTGGCGCGTGGGTAGGTAGCTCTGTGGTAGGTGCTTGGGTATGCGGTTTTCTGACTGTTCGTTGCATCCTTGGCAATTGGCAATATATATTTATATATTGCCAAGGATGCAACGAACAGTCATAGAAAACCGCATACCCAAGCACCTACCACACCTAGGCCACCTAGGAGAGCCACCTACCCACGCGCCACCATTGCCATGGCAATGCAAAAACAGACTCACTCGTAATTCAGCGTTAGAAGTCTCAACTATTCAGTTGCTTGCACCCGCCTCCCAGCTCAGGTTGGAGGTTAAGCATAGCAAACCTCTCCAATTGGTTTTAATGAGTCGTCCCCTCGTGCTGATTTGTCAAGAGCATAAATATTCTGCCCGCGCTCATGTCTTGAACAGATTTGCAACCATTTGGAGGCAAGCTGTATATAGATGGACATCACGATTTTGAAGAACTTATTTGTACTTATCCAGAACCGTCCTGTGGTGGCCACTTCCTGGTATTCGGAGTACAAAAATGTAAAGGCAGCTGGGGATTTAAACCAAGTTAAATCTGTCATTTAAGGGTGTGAAATAAAAGTTGGTGATTCAGGCTTTACAAAAAGTCCATTTAAGTCGAAAAGCGTTGCCATTAATAGCCAAAAACCTGTTCGGAGATAGCCATCACGCTCCGGCAGACGCCAGGGCACCAGAGTAACATGAACCCATAACTTTGGCCTAGCAAATTAAGGAAAAATGTTTATTAAGACAAAAACATCAATGAATTGCAGCATAAACCATCACATTTTGCAATTATATCGGTTTAAGCGCACCAAAATCCATTAATACGTTGTACTATCCGTCAGCAGAGTGCCTGACTCCAATCCCTTCTGGCCGGCCTGTGCTGGTCTGTCAGGCGTTGTACTTGCGCTGGCTCGGTAAATCAGCTGGGAGTGCCGCGTGTCTTTTATTCGACTGGGACGTGCACGGCCTAGTGTGTTGTTGGGGAGTCGGAAGGTGGAGGGCACAAATACATTTTTAAAACTAGTTAGCTGGTGGAGCGTGAGTAGCGTGATCGTGGTGGAGCATGCGTAGGTGGCCGTCTTTGGCACGTTTAATTGCATTTTTGGGGTAACATTTTTCTCTGGACAGCTCCAAACTTATTTTGTGAGACTGCGCACGCTCACTGAGCAACTTTGGAAGAATCACATAAGATGCTTACTATTTACAGCAATACTTTGGGAGAAAAGACTTGTCTAGATCCTTGGTTTGGTAAGTTTTTCGTTTGGTAAGTATATATATATATATATATATATATATATATATATATATATATATATATACACATACATATATATACATGCATATATATATATATATACATGCATATATATATATATATATATATATATATATATATATATATATATATATATATATATATATATATATATACACATACATATATATACATGCATATATATATATACATGCATATATATATATATACATGCATATATATATATATATATATATATATATATATATATATATATATATATATATATATATTATATATATATATGCATGTATATATATATATATATATATATATATATATATATATATATATATATATATATATGCATGTATATATATATATATATATATATATATATATATATATATATATATATATATATATATATACACACACATATACTGTGTTGTTTCAGTGCGCCATGTTTAATACTGATATTTTCTTTCATTTGAAGTGCTTTTACATGAATTGCTGTATATGACAACAGCGATAGCAGCGCTAGTCTTCCTTGCTCCACCGTCCACCAAAACGTCCATCACACCCCACATGTCCACGTGGTCCGTTTTATTACACAACACGGGGTGTCCACGTGCCCCGTCCGCGCGTGGCTCGCCATTACAGTACAAACACATAACGACATTCGGTAAAAACGGCGGCGCCGGCATCCTCCGGCCGGGAATGAACAGCTGTGTGTCGCGGAGCAATAAATAGGGTGTGGCCGGCTCCGCGCGCGGCCGCCCTGATCAGCGGCGCGCCCTCAGCCGCGCGTGTATTTGCCCCAGATGTGCAGCATGAAGACGGACGCGATGAAGAGCAGGCTCATCACCAGCACCGGCACCGGGCCGCTGAAAGCGTCACACAAACCGTCACGAACCGTCACGCAGCGCCACTGACACGGCGCCGGGCGGCTGGGACCGCGGGCAGTCTGTCGCAGGCTGCAGGCGCTGGGCGGCGGCCAATCGTCACAAACAGCCGGTCAGAGTAGCGATGCACCAGTGCCGCGCCAGTGGAACTGTGCGACAAACAGGCCGTCGCGCAATCGACAGCGGCGCGCGTCACGGTGCACGTCGGTCGTGTCACGGTCGTCATCAGTAACGCATGTCCGCGGGTG